CCAGATGTTATGTGTAGTGGTCCACCCAACAATATACGTTAAAGGTTTGGGAGATAGGGTTGCATAGAGCCAACATTATCAATCGGTTTATCCAATTCCATGTGATGAATTCAAGATTCCTTGTTCGCTATTCCGAATCCAAGAATTTGGGAGGTTGAGACACTTCTCCAATGATGAAACCATCAAATCCATTCGCATAAATAACATTCAGTAGCTGGTTTTTCCAGACCATATAGTTACCTTCTTCAACTATAATTGAGGGAGCTTGAGAGAAGTTGGGCATTTAAGTGATTTGAGGCAGAGAAAAAGTAGATAGTTGAGTTCCTGTGGTAGAAACTCCTTCTCTTCCTTTTTGAGGAGAGCTGGAGGTGTTTGAGGCCATTTGAAGCAGCAGAAAGAAAGATGGAAAATCAAGAGAGTAAACGAAGGTCCTACAATGGCTCTGATACCATGTAAGGATTCTAACCAGGAAGAATGCAGATTATAGCAAGAAAGAAAGAAGCTCGGCAATGAAGGAAATTTGATGTATATTGCCTCAATAATCAATCTACAACAATGTTGTAACAAATTACATATATACATTGTAGAAGCATGAGCATGAGTAAAGAACCTACTCTTTATACAGACACGGACCATTATAAGGAATGAAATATATACACGTGTACCAGTTGGTTACAAAAATGAATAATAGAATAAAAAGAAATAATTGAAAAATAACAGAAATAACAAAGTGGTCCATATTACAGCATATAGGTGGCTTTAGTTGTGGCCTTAATGCAGTGCCTCAGTGCTGCTCGGTTCAATTGTGATAGAGTAAGTTGCTCTAACAAAACTTAGTAACTTGTTTGATATTCAAATTTAATTTTGTCTCCCAAAATTTTTTATCCTAAAACACTTTTTAACTATCTCTCTAATTTCTTTCACCTTTTATCTCTAAAATTTTCTCTATCATTTTTTAAAATTTTTGTTTATAATTTTTTTTTTAACATTTCTCTGTATAATTTTTTAAAATTTTATGAAACATTTGAAATGTTATGCAATGCAATGTTTTAAAAATCAGCTCACTCAATGAACGGGATTGAGAGTGTTGTCCCCCGTGCGCCGGTGGGGGGGGGGGAGAGGGGAGAAAATATTTTAATTCTAATGAGTTTCTAGAGTTTCTCACAAGTGCCATTAATCTTTTTATGCACCTGGGTTGTCAAATCCCCATGTAAGCTTCCTCAAGCCCTAAAATTCATAAGATCTTCCGTGGGCTTAGGTTATTTAGCTAAACACTTGAGCTAGGACTTTTAATTCAAATTAAAGTTCCATTAAACCCAAAAAAGTTTAAACTAATTAATTATTACTCTCGTTTGAACTTGATTAATGAAAATATTTTAATTAATTTAAGAGTTCAATCAATTGAACTGTTTTGCAACTTGAGCTAACTTTTATTAAATAAAGTCTTTATTTAATTAATCAATTTAAATTAATTAAATCTTACATAATTTATCCAATTAATTAATTCACTTATCCAACAATTAGATAAATTGTCATAATCTCATATAAGCTTATTTGACTTTGTGTGTAACCTCTCAAGTTAATCAATTAACTACTAATGGTTCCACAACTCTTGTGATTTGTTAAACAAATAAATAATTATTCTGATTAATTAATCCAATTAATTAATCACTATTGAATTAATCTTATTAATTCAAAACTGCACACAATCTATAGTATATATTTAATAACATCACTATTAATACTTAGAAAAGGTGAAAGTAATCCTGTAAACATTTTTACTTATGTTTGGCATACAAATAACTTCAATTAATTTATCTCCCAATTAAAATTTAGGACTCGAAATGAAGTTGGCATCCTTGCAATCTTATTAGCTATATATCTCCTCCTTATAATTAATTTAATGACTAATTTAAGAAAATTATTTGTCATTTATCTTGACCAAGGATTTCAAACCAATTAGCAAAGAAAATATAAGAGATTCACCGATTCATCTAAATGAGTAATAGAATCTCTTTTGGTTCTCACAAATTTTCATACATAAACAACTTATCTCCGATGAAAATCCATTTGTGGCCTATCTTATGAATGCAAAAAATTAGTAGTAAATATAACAAAATGTAAGAGTCTACATACAAGGTTATTTTGGAATCTCAAGTCTAAGGATCAATTAGAGCAATAGAGTAAACATAGATAATATTCAATACGAATAGAATCAACGAAATACTCTAATTGAGATAGTTTAGTGAACTTGGTCCCTTCCAAGTACTCACTCATGTGCATTAGTGTTAATAATATCAATCGTTCATGAAATAAAGCACCCTCATATTAGATGCATGCATCATGAGTGTGCATCTTAGTTAATACCTGTTTTGAAAAATTTTATAACTTGAAATATTTTAAAATCATAGCCAAAGAGGTATATCTTGTGATTATCATGTTATGTGCAACATAATCTCGTGACTATATGTGATCTAAATGCTTCAACTAAATACAGAATTTACTCATATATAAGAAGAAAATGACTCCAATATACAAGTATTAATGACATTGAATGAACTAATAAGACTGATTCACAAGAACAGATCAAACGTCAATTCAATTGGCTTATAGGGCATTATTCTAACACCATAGCATGCCAACAAGATCAAGGAAGCATTAGAAGGGAATGAATGAATCTTAAAGTAGATAAATGAAATGGAGAGAAGAAGATGAAGGAAGCAGAGCATGAACGGAGAATTAGAGAAAAGCTTATCAGCAACATTGGTGTTATGTCGACAGCAGAATAGAATTAAGACATTTCAAATCATTTCAGTTTACTGAACCATAAACGGTTCACAAGTCCAAATGGTTAGGCCATCATTTCAAACATGTTTTTTATAGAATAGCACGATTTTTTCATTTTTATCAATTTTTAATGAAAGCAAAATCAATAATAATGACCAATCGGCAATTAAGCTTGTTTGACCCCCTAGTCTATTCCAATTTTTAAAAATTGGTACAATGCTTGATTACAATTTGCAAATATTACCTCTAAACTCTTTAGATTTACATAATCCTTTAACGTGGATAAGACTAGCCATTCAATTACGTGATAGTCCACCAATTTGTTTTTGCAGAGTCCTAGGTGAATCTCAATCTCATCTAGGGGCAGATCTGCCGTGGACGAGAACTTCAAGTACCAAACAAGTAACATATGGGTTTTTTTTTAACGGAAAATGGAATATAAAACCTTGGAAATATGGCCTCACGAAACATATGAAGCTTGTTTGTCAATATTTATGAGACGATGGTATTATGAAACCTTTGGATCCATTTTGTTCCCTCAACCTTCAACCTGCGCATATGTATTTTCATAAAGCCAATAGCATTTTTCATGTAATTTATTGTCAAATTATCTTTGTCCCTTGCTTGAACACCAGCCAAGGCCACGTAATGAAGTATAAAACACATTAAGATCAAATGATTTCGCATGTGATCAAATTTAGAAGTAATTAAACGTAAAACATGTGCAAGCAATAAAAGGGAAATAGTTAAAGTCTCTCCGTTTCAAAAAAGGACAAGAAATCCATTATGTAGCATGCAATATAATAACAAAAAAAGAAGAAAAAAATAAAAAAACGGGGAATATTCTTTTAATTCTCTGAAAGCCATCTTCCTACTTTTGTCAATATGCTCTCGCTCTAAGTTATAAAGAATTAGCTTGGTTAGTGAGTCAGATTTAGGTTGGATTATAGTAATTTCATATTTGAATCTGATAGTGATACACTATATTCAAATCCGACTCAAAATCTTCTAAAGTATGTGCTCAATACTATTATATCCAAATCTTAACAAACTCCGATAAATGAAATAATAATTTAAATCCGAATTATTGAATTGTTATACTTTATTATTTTATATTTTAAAAAAAAATTCAAAACTGAAATAAGAAATTCTTAAAAAAATGAACTAATAAATAATTAAAAATTAAAAGTATAATATAATTACATTTGATCCACTACAAATTTTGGATTTGAGACTGATTTACTGGTAATATATAACAATTACATTTAATCCATCAATATATATATATATATATATTTTACATTTTTGTTTTTTTAAAAAAATAGAAGTATGTTTCTAATTTCTATTTTTAAGAAAAATAATTTATTAGTTAAAGTTTAATAAATCAAGTCTATATTGATATATATATATATATGTATATATTATATGCACATATACTATATAAAGATATATATATATTTTAAATTCAAATTTTAAACAGATCAAATTAGATAAAATCTATATTTGTTTCATTTATTTTGAAATATGAATATTTATAATCGAATCATGTCTATCAAATCTTTTATTGATTAAATATCCTAAATAATGAGATCAAATTCAGATTAGATTTGAATTAAAACTGCTCCACTATTAGCCCTACAAAGAATTGAGTGATAACATTCCACTTAAGTGACTCCTTGATCTAACTTGATTAAAAGATTCCTCTATCACCTAGTAGGCATGGAGTCATGGACCCGTTTACTCTCCACTAATATGAATTGTGTGAGGCAATGCAACCATGTGCTACTTGTATGGAAGAGCAATAGAGTTGCTTAATGATGTAAGAGAGGTCTTAATAATAGTAGACTACTAGCTTTCTGCCGCGAAAAAGATTTTCTTGTCTTTGTTAATGCTAAAGCTACATTTGAAGTTCACTCTAATTAGTTTCGTCCACAAGCTGGAATTAATTTGATATGCTACATAGTTTTTCTTCCCTGTTTTCATTATTTCATCCAGGAAATCCAATGTATTTAAGCAACTTAGCAGGAAAAAGATATGCAAGGGCAATAGAGAACCAACAAAAGCAAGGGTAATCATCCTGTCATTACACCTCACACTATGATGCCAAGTCGCCAATTGCTTACCCAATAGAGATTAATGTAAAAATTACATATCTATAATACTGCCTTAGCCATCTTCAACCTCTAAATTTCTGGAGAATTGTTCTATTTCCTCTAACAATCTATTGCTTTCAAGGTGCAGTCCCTAGAATCCTTATCTAGACATGTTTGGGAAGAAATGATCTTCATAAGAAACTGACAGGCTATGGCTGTATCTTCAGGGATGGCCATTACCTTTTCCATATGCTCCTCTTTGGCACCTTGAGAATCATTGGTGTACCAAAATTTCCTGCATGCCTGTATTATCAAAGGAGAAAGTTCTGACTTAGATGCATACATACAACTCTTGATAGTTGCAGTTTTGTACTTTCCTAAGCATGTGGGTCCCATTTATGTTTGAGGACAGAGCACTAATTGTTCAAAAACAAAATGTGTGTGCGTGTGTATGTGTGATCAGCAAACCAGGCAAAGAAGGGTATAGTAATTGCCAAGAATAGGAGTCAGTTTCTTCAGGCTTAGGGTTTACTTTGCCTCTTGAGATTATTGCAGGTCTTGAATGAAGGAAATCAAATGAAGGGCATGGAAGAGAGCACATGAATCTCACCTGGAATACCCTACTTAGACTAGCAATATGTTCATCTTTCAGGTAGCCAGCATTTAGTAGCTCTTTAAATAAAAGCACTATCTCAGAACTCACGTTGCTAGCTGAAAGGTTTTTAATTATACCTCCTATGCAAGAATCATCAAAAACAGAATGCAACCAGTCAGAATCCTTCTGCAGTTTTAGCAATGCAACTACTACATGAACTGCGGGCTTGTGATGGATCATAAAGGATTTTGAGGCCAAAGATGGAACTGCCAAGGATATTGCCAGCTCTTCTACAATCAACCTGCACCAGTTCTTTCCTTGCTTGGCTCTCAACTCTATGTCGAGCTTGTCCCACCCCAGAATCATTGATAAGCTGAAGCTACAGTTCAGGGCCACGTTGATGTCACTGCAAAAAACTAGGCCTTCCAAAACAGCTGTTATAGACAACAGCCATTTAGTGCTGCAGGTTAACTGATCTGATTTTTCCGTTTGCTGCTTTGATATTCTTGTTAAGAGCTCCAACAGACAATATGAAGCAACCAGCTTGATTGGAGATGAACCAAAATGGATCAGCCTGCACAAGTCCTTGCAACAAATGCTTATGAAAGAAAATGGCGGCAAACCATTGGCTTGATCAAGAAAACATAACCAATCCACCATCCCTGGTAAAACAGCAGGCATACTAGAGCAACAACAATATTAGCCTTCAAAAATTTCAGAGTTATATCGAGATTATCTGGTAGATGTTCTTTACCTTCGTACTGAAAAGAAGTGTAATACAAGCACAAATAACAGAATTTCTCCTGTTTTTGTTCCCTCTTCATGGTCAATTAGAGCAGGTCCCTTTGAACAGGCTAGATGTACCGTGTTGTTAATTATGGAGACCAAGGGAGTACTCAGAAGTATGGTCTTCGAAACTTCTACCAGTGCTTTGTTAGTGGAATGGTGCAAAATTAAGGAAAGAATGCCAATCACTATCAGACTTTCTTCAGTCCACCTATCTGCAGCAGCTGTGGGAATCAGGCAGTCCATCAACTGCAATAAAAATGCAGTTTCTGTTAATATTCCAGAAACAAAAGCAAGTCTCACTTCAACAGAAGTCAGATATTCACCTTCATTGTGATGGCAAGCCAAGCTTTGTCCTCGGAAAGTGACACTGAATGCACTGAATGTAGAATACCAAAAGTAAGCCGAGAGACAACCATGAACATTTCTGGAGAAGAATGTCCGAAATGATAAAAAAGACTCTGGATTGCAGTGCTGATCCCATGCAAGCACAATTGGTCAGCAGCAGCTGGAAATATGTTAATAATCATTGCAATGGTACCCAATACAGAAATAATTACAGGTTTCTGGTCGTCTTCTTCTACAAGCTCTTTCAGCACATATACCAGGAGTGTTGCCACAAAGTTATCTTCTGATGCCGCTAGTTCTGCTATTGTCCTTATATCTATGTTTTTGCCACTGCTTTCATGCATGAGGATGGGGTTTCCATATAAGTAAAAGCATTGGCATAACTTCAGGATCTGACAGGACAATGGCTTGCATATTTTCTCCTGTTGGAATAACCATTTCATTGATTTAAAGTGAATTCTTGCTGAAGACAAATCCCATTTATTTTCATTTATTAGATGGAACATTATTCTTTCAGCCTCTGGGCTGTAGGGGATTTGGTAACTCATCTTTGCGAGACCCCTATATAGGCTGTAAAGATTTATCAGCAACTCCATTGGAACTGAATCCACAGCCTCATAAAGGAATTCACCGCTGTTAACTAGAATATATTGCTCCACAGATGCTAAAACCAGCTTCTCATCTGCAAACCTACGGGAAGAGAAATTTAGTGAATTAAAGATAAGCCACAAAAATAAATATTAATTCAGATAGATTACTGGGAATATTATACCAATCATCATACAGTGAGCTCGTATATAGTACCAGCAGTACAGCAGATTGACAAGAAAGCAATTCTAAATTATTGGAACTCTTCTGCCCCAGCAAGAACAAAAAATCTGTAGGATCAGAGGGTAGATGTAAAGCAGCATCCCTAATGGGTTTACCAAATTCATTTCCCAGAAGGATGTCTAGAATTGAACTGAAAATCTGATAGACTATCCATTTCATCCTTTCTGTTGGAAATAGACCTAAACATCCAAATGAAAAGCAAAACCAAGATAACGTGACCAAAATATTTGCAAATTCTACAGCATGTATATAAGAATCCTGAAGCAGTATCAAATGACAAGTTTCTAATACTCCAAACACAATGTCCTCTTCCATTTCATTGACGACCTTCACAAACCAAGGCAATAAATTGGTTTTACAGACACTGAGAATGCAGTTTCTCAATTCCATCTGAATGGAGCCGGTGGAGTCCTTCTGACAACTGTATGCATAAGCTTCTTTCAGTAGGTAGAGAGAGTGCATGAAGAGGATGGGATACTTTCCATGGTTGCTTGTACAAATCAAAATAGCATGCTTGGATGCCTCTTGAACAGCTGTTGTGAAATTGGAAATCCCTGGAGAAGATGGAAATTTCATAATAGCAACGAGGATAGAGCAAGCCATGGAGAATGTTTCTGGAAGCATGCCTATCTCCCCATTGGTATATTTTCTGAGCATCCCCGACACAGTAAAGCTTATTTCTTCAAGGTGTGATGTGGATACTATTCCAGGACAATGTGAAAAGCATTTCCATATGAGCTTTAGTGTCGGAGCTTGAACAGGGTGAAAAGGAACACCAGCAACATAATACAGAACTGGGAACAGAGTAGCAAATCCAATAGCAAGCCTTTGTCTGAAGGCATGCTCAGCTTTTGACAAAAGGTCAAGAACTTGGAGGCAAGAAGTCACAATAGGATCCTTGCACCCTGCAAACGTTCTTATACTTTATTCAGAGGAAAAATAAAAAAATGTGACTTCAGAATATTGAAATTTGAGGAAGGGTTCCTAGGTCTACTTTGGCACTATGATCTACGAATGTGTAAATTTGGCATTCATATGCAAGGTTGAATACTCTCTTTCCTTTTCAGTTATTTCTAAATAACTTCATCGACTAATTCAAGAAGCATCATGTAACTTCATAAATTAATATCTAAGACAAGTTGGTTAACAGATGTAGAATTGCCATTTGCCCCAGTTTCACATAAATTTTCATAGAAGAATGCTATATGAAAGGGAGGATACGATATTCATGAATAGCTAGTATAGTGTCTCTTGTTCATGGATTGTACGCACCTGACAATCTTAGTATTTCAAATACATAATCTGCAATGTTTTCTTCCACCAATGCCTTCTCGTTTCCTGAACTGCCATCCCGTGACAGATAAAGAAAGATTAAATCCAATGTTCTGACTTGCACTTCGCTATCAGAAGAAAGCAGTGGACCTTTTATGGCCTCAGCAAACAAGAAATTCAGAGGAGGCCCATCAATTACTTGATCCGTTGTTTGCTTGAAATTGTCATCTTGACAAAAAACCTCGCTGTTCATGTTATGTTTACATGCATTCTCAAAGGACCCTCTCTGAGCGAGAACAATCAGAAGGGCTACAAAAGAAAATAGCGAATTGGAAATAAATAACATCAAACAAATAAAAAAATATATGAAATAACATCAAACAAATGAAAAATATGCCAATAGAATGTGAAGGAATAAAAATTGGCACTTAGAAATAACTGTATTTGCAGGTGTGACGTACACTAGGAAGCACGTGCCCTCTATTTGGGTAAACATATCTGTTCTCGGACATGTCTCTCTCCATTGTCCAATACATCCGCAATAAACAAGATACATATTGGATGCACTTAATTTGGCTGTCAAATTTATTATTTAAGTTTTTAATATCATACACACAAGTCATAGCACACAGAAATAAATGTCTCTATTGCAAATAAGATTCACTCAACATCAACTTTACCAAGAATAATATGAAATGAACAACATATATTACACATTTAGACAATGAATGAATAAATAAAGAAATTTATAGATCTATAGTAGTTTGGCCATGATGAAGCACATATATCACACATTTGGACAATGAATGTGCAATTCAAATGTTTAACTGACTCTATTTTTTGCTGCCTTCAATTGCAGGTCACACAACCATTATGCAAATCATGTTTCATAGTATTTACAGTGCAATAATGAAATAACTAGTCTACTACAGATTATGATACTACTTGTACACTACTAACTAAAATACACCTTGCCAAATAATGCTATTAGCAAAGATTTGTAGATTTTAACCACCCAACAGAAACATGGAATGCATGTTCTGACCTTGTTTTTGTGATGTATATTTTACAACCACTGCTGCCACACATGCATCTCATTAGCGTGAAGCCATGGTACTTTGTGATAAAGCATGTTTCTTTCGCACATTTGTAGTGAATTTACTTAGTTTAAGAAAAATGAAAGCCTCGCCACTAAGCTTATAAGAAGAAAGCTTTTTCAAGAAAAAGAAGAAAGAGCAAAAGGGAATTTTGAAGAAGTTGACCGACCTAGACAGTTCAAGCGAACATCATCACTCTCAGTCTTCATGAGGGCTTCCAGTGAGAGATGCAATAGCTTAGGAGAATAAGGAAACAAAGGATCAATGGTATCATTGTCCTCCTTGGCATACTGGAGCATTGATGTTTTATAAAGGACAAAGAAGATCTCTCCACGTATTTCTTCACTGTTCTCAGCAAGGATGAAGAACACTTACAAATGGGCAGAATACAGTACGGTGTACCATGAAAGAAGATATCTAGCTATAATGTTGCTTTCAGCTGTTACCTTGGAAACTGAAGACCAGCAACAAGGTTGAAAATGAAGGCTTCTTTGTCACTGATGTGGTGATAGGGATCATATTTCTGATGACTCAGTAGAATGCCAAGGCAATGAAGCTGCATGTAAGTAAATAGGACAAATGTTCACAAAGCGTTACAGGGACATCACTTTCTGAAATTCAGTAAGTCTTGCCACCATCCACTCTGACTGCTTTCACCATATTACTGGTTTTAATAGACCAGCTGATATCCATCATGAGACAAATGAACAAACTCTATTTATGTCACTATTGTTGAGAAGAGAAGATTTGGGTTTCAGATTCATTAAATAGCTTTGCAGCTTTCCTCGTTTGTTTATTGAATAAGCTTTGTGTATCATACCAGTACATGACTGTATGAGGTCCTTTAAGAAATGAGAGATTTTCTACAAAAACTAATGCAGCCAATAGGCAAATTTGCAGATTGCAGTTAGACTCATCTGATTGTAGTCCTTTATTTTTCTCAGCAACCAAGTTCTTAATAATATTCACATATATGGTATCTTCAGAATTTATTATGCTTTCAAGGATCTAAAAGATTTGGATTTAAGGGAAATAAAATGAAGTAATAAGTAAGAGAGGCAAAAACAGGAATGTGAGGGGAAGAAAAATGGTTGAACTCTGTTCATGATGTAATAGTTAATAGGATTATAGTTTACATCCCTTTCCCCATGTTCAGTTACATAAAAATCATTTTAAAGGAGACTTCCATCCCTACGCATTTTATCTTCATATCTTTGTTTTGGTTTAATTCAGTAAGTATAAATTGGTAATAAGAGCAACATTTACGTTGCCTTCACTTTCTCCCACTTTGGAGGGGAAGCGAACTTCTCAAAATGCAAGCATTTTCCCACCTAGTCCCTCCATGGACTTCCTTTCTTTCTCAAAACTCCAAAAGAATTTAATCCTAAGCCTCCTTCGCCTATGTGTTACGTTTCCACCGAATTCCTTGACCAGAAAACACCTGAATGCAACAAAGGGAAGGAGAGACTCCCTTAAACCAAGATTGCAGGTCAAATACCTAGAATTTGAAAAAAAAAAAGAAATTCTTCGTTATCATATTTTCTCAATCACTAAGGACGCGAAGTCAGAGCTCCCAGCATACTTAAAGTACACAGTAAGAATATGCATGTAAACATAAAAAACGCATTGGAACTGCGGAGCATCGGAAACAATACCGTGTAGACCTGGCGGCAACTCCAAGCCAACGTGGAGGACGAGAGACGACTGGCGATCCGATCCAAGAACTCACCATACACCGAATCATCGGCTATATTGGAAAGCTGAGAGACAAGATCGGTGACTTGGCGAGCGATGGGCTCGTCGTCAAAGGAGGAGAGGGCATCGACGAGGGGAGAGACAAGGAAGTGAGGGTGATAAATAAGGAGGTCGTGGAGGAAGGGTGCTTGGGAGATGGCTTGGGAGAGCTGAGAGAGAGCGTAAGAGACGTGAACGGTGGGAGAGCGAGGGTTGGAGATGAGATTGGAGAGGCAGAGCAGGCAGATGGAGCCGCCTTCTAGTGTTTCGAGGACGAGGAAGAGCTGTGGCCTTGTGAGCAGGTAGTCGAGATTTGGCATGGCGAGGAGTCTAGGATTGTGGAAGGCTCCAATTCGAAGAGCTGCTGATCTTCTGCTCCGTTGAAGTTCATTCTCTCTGCCGCATGTCCAAAGCGAAGAGACGAGAGACGGGTTGCCAGAATTTCAAATTTGGGCGCGCAGCAGACGGAGCAGTGTTCGATTCGTATAGGTAAGAACCCGCTAGTCCACCTTTTTGTTTTATTTCGCCCGCTTAAAAGGACAGAAATGAAAGCAAGTAGTATGCAAATAAGAAAATTTGTACACAAAGTTCACCAGAGGTAAAGAGTTCGGAGGTTTAGTTGCGTAGCTCGAAGGTGTTAGTAGAGGTGGAAGTTCAAATCAAGAAAATCGAAAACAGAACATCACAAGTTAGATTTGGTTTCGATTTAATTAAAGAAGTTAAAGGGTTTGGTTTCGATTTAATTAAAGAAGTTAAGGGGTTTGGTTCAATTTTAGCTAGGTTTATTTTCCATTAATTAAATAAGAAGTCAAAGCGTTTGGTTCAGGTCCTAAATGTTTTCTTATCTCACTATATGTATCAATGAAAATCTTTTAGAAGGTGAATATAATATTATTTTTAACTAAGAAAAATTGGAAAATTATTTTGAAAACGCTGTGATTGTTAAGATTGGGTTAAATCTCTTGCCAAGCATCTTTAAGATTTTCTTTCAATATGTATTATGAGCCCTACAATTTTTGTTAAAGGAGTTTTGAACGAGACTACTAGACATCTATTATATTCTAAAAAGTATTACCAAATATTTTATGAGAGGATATGTTTATTGAAGTTAATGGTAGTTGAGCCAACATAGTTGAACCATATTCTTTAGTTAACAGGAGACGGTACTAAACTGTCATGTTGGATTGACATAATAGAACTTTTGATGGTTTCTTTTTATCTTTACCCCTTCATGTGTTATTGTTCATTGATTAATGTTGGACTGAATTCTTCCACATTTTATATTGAATAAATGATTATTTCAGAAGTTAATATAATATATTGGATTTACCTATGTGATACTGTTTGAATAATAATTTGAATTATAGATTTTGATAGAACGTGTTTTTCAATACAACTTACATTATTTTATTAAAATGTTACTATGATTATGTTTAGAAAGGCATAAAAATGTTTTTGTTGAAAACACTTGTCTCATTTTCCCATAGATATATATTTATCTCTTACTAAGTCTTGCAACTTACCCTCTGATTCCATCTTTTCAGATTCTAGGTTTGCTCCAGATTCAAGTCTATCAACTAATCGAGGAGTTTTTTCATTGGGTGGGCTCAATAGTTGTGTGTGGACATTTTCTTTAGTAGTTATGTATTTATGCTCTTTAGTATAATTTGGTTTGTGTAACTGTAGAGTGCACCACTACCTTCAACCGATATATTGTTTTCGTTATGTTTATTTAGATCATGTATATGTCTTAGAAGAGCTAAGTCTGGATGCTATGGTTATTTGGTGGTTTATACAAATGATTATAATAGATTACGAGTTAATGATACTTTTGGGTTATTCAATTTTTAGGCAAAATTCTGTCAAAATCTTTGTAAAATTAGTAAATCTAATATATTTTATTTACTATCCTATTAAGTTGGCTAGGATTGACTAGTGTATCCCTTCACATTCTCCAATGTTGAATTGTGACATTGGCAATATGCCCCATCCCTTCAACCCAGACACAAATTTTTAAGCACATAGCTACTTTGGTCATACACATAGTTGACATGAGAAAGAGAGAAGGATAAGGATTAAGTAGGATACAATTTATCCTGGATGAACAGTTTTATCTTATGTTCAGTATGGGAAATAGGGAATGGGATAAAATAAATCAAGTTTACAATGAGGGCATTTTTGTCCACAAAAAAAGTATATGATCCAAGGCATAGGTATTTTGGTCATCTTACAGGTTTATAGAGGGTATTTTTGTCTAAAAAAATTTAGTTATACTCTGATAGAAACCTAGATAAAATAATCCCACCTCCCCCCCCCCATGAAATTTTATCCAATTTGATCATGATATGTATCATTATCCTTATCTGTATCAGTTTTTTATCCTACGTACCGAACGCAAGATAAGGTAAGATAATTTTATCTTATCCTATCTTATCCTGCGTACCAAACGCGTCCAAAGTGGGATAGTTAATTGGATAACTCAAGAATTAGGAGTTAAACTCGTCAACCAAGATGGTTGTAAAAGCTCTAGTCCTTGTCCAACGGAGTCATTTCTACCAAAGCAATGGCAAAGAACTTAACTAGAAAAACAAAAAGGATCATAAATCAAATTCCAAAATGGAAATTATTATAAAATGCCAATGAAAAATAAATCTAAATGAGAAAAAAATGCATAATATAAATTAAAATTCCTTCAAGGTATTACAACCTATCGGACCCTATTTCACTCACTAGATTCCTTATAGATAATCACTACTCAATGCTATTTTGTCTTGTTAATTACTAATAGTAGGATTATGGGGTGGAGGTATATTCTAATTAACTTCAAACTAAGACGGGATTTTGAAAGTTATTGCTTAAAAAAATGGAATTCATTTTAACTCGTACAAGTTGGTAGGGAATCTATACATTCTGTTTATATTTTTGTTAAAATAACTATACGAACTTCATAATTCCAAGACAAGTGGGTTTTGTGGCATCCCAAACCCAAAACCAACCCCACTTACTTTATTATTTCATTCTTTGCATTATTGCACATACAGTGGCATTCATGGCATACTTTATAAAAATTGTAACTAGCTACGAGCTAATATAAATTTTCCCGTTTATGCACTTGGAGAATGTTAATGTGGCCATGAGAGACATGAAGAAATGAATTTTATTAGGTGGTAAAAATAAATTAGAAAACAAGGCAAAATTTTGAAAAAAAAAAACTTGAGGAAATGTTGTAAAAATGGTTAATTTTCATTAAACAAGCTTAGTGAGATCAATACTTTTAAACCATTAAATCAAAGGGTGAGAGTGGCATTAGATATTTGTTTCAAGGGTATAATGGTAAGTTAAGAAAGTAAGCAAGTGAAGGAGACATAAAGGGAACAAATATTTAGTAACAGAGGGTAATTTGGTCATTTCACAAAAGGGAGGTGTGTGCCTCACCCATGCCTGACTCTTGGGGACTATGTAAGCTGCTAGAGTAGCCTGCTTATTCAAGTGGAAGTTGGAGAAAAAGCCGAAAATCAAGGGGGAGAAAACCATGAGCCAAGGAAGGTGAGAAATTGCTTGTTTTGCAAAATTTTGCCAAGTTTTGTGTAATTTCCTTCTAGATTATAATTGAGCTCTTTATTCTCTTCAATTTAACTGGTTTAATTTCATGATTTGAAGTAGTTTAGAGTGCTCAAATCAGGGTGGAATTCGTGCCTTAGGTGAGGTAGAAAAATTTTAGATTTTGGTTTGGTTTTGTGAAATTGATTTGGGGCTATTATAGGCTTCGATTTTTTTATTCTTCCAATGGTTTTATCTTCTGTTTTGGATCTATTTTAAGGCCAGAAAACAGGGGAGGTGCTGCTGGTTTCATGTAAGGAGTTTAAGGGTGGATTAAAGTTAAGAAAATGAGCTCAAAACATGGTTAAGATTAGGGTTTAGATGTTTAGAACAAAATTTCGGCAACTAGGTGACTTGGCCGAATTGGATCATGTGCTGAAGTGAGGTGGAATTGGCTATGCTTTGATGCTAATAAATAGCTTAAGAAATGGTTAGCATACGGTAGGGAATTAGAGCTAATTAGGAGGCTGAAAACTAGGTTTAAGTTGGCTAAACATAAGTTAAGTGAGGGGTGTTGAAATGTTGAAATTTGGGAGCTGAAATTGTGAAATTTAAGGGCTATTTTGAGATAGTTTTGAACCTCCTAATTGGTGCCACGAAATTGGGTAAGAAAGGGTAGGAAGATGGCCACTAGATGAAGGTAGTAGTGTAACCAAAAAGTGGCTTAAAAGCCTTAGTTAAGTGAGGGTAACTTGAATTAAGAATTTAATCAGTTTATTTTCTATTTGCAAATCATGCATTTATGAGTATTCATGACATTGTTTTAATTTTCATATTCTAGAGTAAACCAAAGCAAAACCCAAATCAAATAGGACTCACACGACTTCAGTAGCTAGTACATGTTATGAGTGGCATTATCTTTAATCTCAAAATTTCTGAAATTTGTTTCTATAAAAGTGATTCATTTTCAACCATTGTATGTTAATATTAAAATGGAAACAGTTAGCTATGTTATGATTTATTAGTATGTGATTTAGTATCGAGAACTTAGTTTTGATACGTTGGGTATCCACTAGGGCAAGTGATAGTTCTACATGATTATTATCATTTCACAGTCCAGTGGGGTATGTAGCACTAAGGTTATAATAGTATGGGCTTGAAATGATGACCCATGGTACCGGTTGTCTAGCGTAGTAGTAGTCGACAGATTTTATGATTTTATAACCCCAGACTAATAGCTGACAACTTTGTTGTGTATGCAGAATGGTTCTATATGCTATATAATTGTTTCATGCTTATGATTTCATCATGTTTTGGTACTAAAAAATTCTCAATAAAATAAATTGATTTTATGTGATTATTTCTATGCTTTTAACATTAACACATTCAATGTAGAACACTTAGATCTATTTATTATTAATATAAACTCTATATATTTCCCACTGAGTTTAGATTGTATTCCATTCACTAAAACTATAGTCTCACCACTTATTTTATCATGTAGATATCGAGGAGATTAGTTAGCGTGCATCTGCATTTCATAGTCTTCATCATAACATAATAGTTGAGGTTGGGCCTAGTCACAGTTATGAAGTTATTGGACAGTTTATACAGTTTTAAGTTGAACGAGTGTTTGTATGTTTATGAGTGGACAAAAAATTCTGAAAATATTAATGTATGTCAGTTACCAACATATGTACAATAGTCTAGGTTCATGTTCAAAAAAATAAGTTATATTTATTTTGCTATCAAAATAATTTCAAGACAAGCTAGTTCTAAT